TGACTGGTTGCAAATTGGACCGTATGGTTATATTTTTAAAAAAAGTCACTGCTGTTGAGTTGATTACAACTCATAGTGACCCTGCTTTGGATTTCTGAGGCAGTATCACTACGGAAGTAAATCGCCCAATCTTCTTTCCGAGAAGTGGCTGGTAGGTTTGAATCGCCAGCCTTCTGGTTAGCAGTCAGTTGCCTTAGGCACTGTGCCACCAGAGCTCCTGTGGTTATACTAGATGTTTTGAAGTCTGCTAAATTTCAACACTGCAGTTGGTTCCTTTTGTTTAACTGTTTCTTTAGATATTTAGTGATTTTGGATTATGTCCTGGATATTATGAATATTTCATTATAGACACTGTGGATTCTATTATGTTCCTCCCAAGAGTGACATTTTTTGCTTTTCTTTTGAATTGTGGTGCTAACATACAGAACAGAACAGTCACCAGTTCAACAATTTCTACAAGCACAATTCAGTGACATTGATTAGACTCTTCATGCTGCACAACCCTCATTCCTATCTTTACTCTAATTATTCTACCACCATTAACATAAACTCAGTGCCCTCCAAGCAGAAATCCTCCTTTCCGCCTCCCTCCCATCCTTGATGACCACTGATAGGCTCTGATTTCTGTATATGTGCTTCTTGTGGTTACCGTTAGGTGCTGTTGACCCTGCGTACAACAGAACGAAACACTGCCGGCCCTGCATCCTCAGAATTGTCACTGTGCTTGAGCTCTTGAGCTCATAGGTGTAGCCACTGTGTGTCTCACTGAGAGCTGTCCTCTTTTTCACTGACCCTCTGCTTTATCAGGCATGAGGTCCTTCTCTGGGACCTGGCCCCTCCCACTAACGTGTCTAAAGTACATGTGATGGAGTCTCACTATGTTTGCTTCTAAGGAGCGTTGCTTGTTTCATAAAAATGAGACCTAAAGTATTTGGCTTTTTGTGGCTGACTTATTTTGTTCAACATAATTTATATATTTAATTTTTATTGTGATTTGAATGAAAGTTTACAGAGCAAATTCATTTTCCATACAGCAGTTCATAACACATTTTATATCATGACATTGACTTCCTCCCTGTAGTTACCTCTTCCCTGTGTCCTTCCCTGCCATGCACCACCCCCCTAGCTGTCTCCCTGTGCAAACATTGCCCTTCTGTTCTCCCATGGTCGTGCGTTCCAAGGAGTGCTGCATCTTCCTGATGTAAATGTTCACCTCATATGCCTGGCTCTTGTTTGGCTGGAAGCCACAGGAGTGGGTTCTGTTGCAGACCTGAAGGGTAACTAGGGGCTGTAGCCTCAGGGGTCTCACCAGGCTCTATCAGACCTGCAAACCTGCCCCCCCTTTTTCTAATGATTCTGAGTTTTGTTCCAGATTGTTCTCCCACTCTCTATCCAGGATCTCCTGCACTGATCTGCCTCTGAGTTTTTGACATTGGTAGCTGGGCACCAACCATCTAGTTCTTCTGGTCTCATGGTCTTATTGGCTGAGGATCGCATGGTCCATCAGTTCCTTGGACTAATTGTGTCCACGCATCTTTGGTTTTCTTCGTTCTTTGCTCTAGACGATGAGAGACCCGTCATTGCATCTAGATGGCTGCTTGCAAGCTTTTAAGACCCCAGTTGCTGCTCGCAAAAGTAGGCTATAGAACAATGTTTTTGTGTATTATGGTTTGCTAATTGAGCTTGATGTCCCCTGCGACCATGGTCCTGAGCCCACAGGTCAATGTTGGCACTTTTGACAATGGGGTGAATATGTTGCCAAGGCTAGCAATTCTGAGTTCTTTCCACCAGATGTCAGTAGTAGCCCCTAACTCATGACATTTGAAAGTGTGTTATATCCCTTCCAATTGATTGGTGAACGTCCCCTGGGAACAAAATTGCCCCTGGTTGAGGAGCACTGCTCACTATCAGTGCTCGTCTCCAGTTACTGTTAACATCTCCCCAGCCTTTGATCCTGTCGATGGCCCTCTCCTCAGAGGAATTTCTGTTAGTGGAGGTGGCCCAATCTTGGTGGATGTCTTCAGCCTTGGTGGGTACCTGCCTATTCCTTGTTCTGTCTGCTCTTTGGGATTTTGACCCAGCCACTCTTCTCACCTCTTGTGATTGCTTAACTGGGGATGGTAGCTGCTCAGCGAGATTTCACATCCTCACATTGCAGCCAGAGGGGTCTTCCTGAAACCAGTCACCTGTGCACATGGGCCTCAGCCACAGTGCTTCGTATTGGCTGCCTTCCCCAAGTTGCAGGTAGTGCGTGTCATGGTTCAGCAGGATTGCATTTGACTGGTTAGTCTTCAGGAGATAGCTCCCTAAAGTTAGCGTTACTGCGGCGTTTCTTGTCAGAGCATATAATTTGGACCTGGGCAGTGTGGGGGTGGGGGTCAGAGGTTGGAGAACTGGACTGAGTTACTCTCAGCTTTTATTTTTTTTTCCATCAGTCTGGAACTGACATAGGTAGCCAAGGTTCAGTTCAGACAACTCTGCTGTGAGTCTGTTCTGATTAAGTCAAACCCCTCATTTTTTTTTTTTTTTTAGTTTTCATTATTCTTGCCTTTTGTTATCAAGATCTTTGTAAATCTGATCTTAGAACATCTGTGGGTGAACATCGGAGAATAGCATCAGCAAATTACACACTGCAGACATTGTACCAAACCAAAAAACCTCACTGCCGCCGAGTGGATTCAACTTATAGTGACCCTTCCTGGGGTTTCTGAGGTGGTATCACTGTGGAAGTAGGTTGCCCAATCTGTCTTCTGAGGAGTGGCTGGTGGGTTTGAACTGCCAGCCTTCTGGTTAGCAGTCAGATGCCTTAGGTACATATGACTAACGATACCAGAAACCAGACCCACTGCTAATTTGCAGTGACCCTGTGAGACAGAATAGAACTGCCCCATAGGGTTTCTAAGGCTGTAAATCTTTACAGAAACAGACTGCTGCTACATCTTCCTCCTGAGGAGTGACTAAGTGGGTTTGAACTGCTGATCTTTTGGTTTACATTCGAGCACATTCACCATTGTGCCACCAGAGCTGCTTATTACTAGCAGTACAGTATACCAGAAAGAACCCCTGTAAGTGTGGTTCACTGTGACTTGTAAGTTGGGAATTACCTGTACTGTGCTAAGAGTTGGAATGTCTGAGTTTTAAACTTTCCTGAACATGTCACCTTGGGTGTGTTGCCCCATGCCCTCCTTAGCTGTAAAAAGAGGGGCTGGGACAAATGCCTCCCACACTTTTCCTGTTACTGTTTGTTTTGTTTTCAAGTTCTTCCCTCTTCTTTGGCATGGGTCTTGCATTGTGTTAGCTGCCTGTCCCACTTTGACGCTGCATTTTTTTGTGTGTGATTTGGGTGAAGATTTACAGAGCAAATTCACTTTCCATACAGCAGTTCACGTACACTTAGTCTCATGTCATTGACCACAGTTTACCACAGTGCAACAGCTCCCTTCCCACTTCCTCCCTATAGTTACCTCTTCCCAGTGTCCATCCCTCCATACACTCCTGTCCCCTGGATGCTGCATTTTTTAAGGTTATAATTTATTGATAGGTAGTGAATAGGGGTGGGTGCAGCGACTTTACTAGGTGGGGAGGAGGAATCAAGATCAGCAGCCCAAGGCTGATTACTCTGAGGCAGGGGTCAGACATAGCACTACCTTCTAGCTTTTTACCAACACTGACACCAGCCGTTCCCTCCCACGGCGCTCACTTCTCTGCTGGGTTCGATGATTCCTTGCGATGGCCCCACAGAGCTCACAGACAATCCTCACGATTATGGGTTTAATTAGGGAAGTAACAGGCTACAATTCAGGATCAGAAACAACTCACGATACAACTCTTAGATCAGGACAGCCTCTTCTCACTGTGCCATGCAGACGCTCGTCTCTCTGGTTGCTGCCCCTTGGCCTCTGCCCCACTCGGGCAAGTGTTTCAAAGCTCCTTTCTCGACTGTGAAGTGCCTGGAGGCAGCCCACTCCACCAGTAAACCTCTTGCCCAAGGCACTCAGCTTTTTTGCCCAGTGGGCTGGGAAGCCCACTGCTTGTTTTGTGAGATCTCCTGCCGGTGTGGTCTGCTACTGGGTCTCTCTGTTGCTGCTTCTCGCCGTCTCTCGTGTCCCAGCTCTCTGTCTCCTGCATCAGTGAGGTTGAGTGTGATCTCGAGTCTAAAGGACACCCTCTACTCCTGGCTCTTCTTTATTGGTGGTAGTTAGATTTCCCACCCTATCTCCCTCTGGGAGGGCTCATTTTAAGCCTAGTGGGGTGACAAAACTGACCAATCTTCACGTTAGGGGTCCACACACCTTATTTACGTGGTCCCACACACACAAGAGTGCCATGCACCTTATTTACATTATTAGGATCTGTAGTGGTGCAGTGGTTAGAACATGGCTGCTAACCAAAAGGTCAGTGGTTCGAACCCACCAGCCACTACTCCATAGGAGAAAGATGAGGCAATCTGCTTCCATAAAGATTTACAGCCTTGGGTACCCTATGGTGCAGTTCTACTCTGTCCTCTAGGGTTACTGTGTGTCAGAATTGATTCAGTGGTGGTGGGTTTGGCTTTTGGTTTTATCCAATCCCTTTGGTGGACCACCACTACCTCATATTTGCATAGTCCCACATAGTCATCTAGTGGGAGTCACAAAGCGGTACCAAGCAATTCACTGTACCGCCTAGGTGGTGATCTCCTTTTGTGGGATGAGTAAACAGATTCTCCGTCCGTGGCCACATAGCTAGTTAGTAGTAGGGGCATGATTGGAGGTCATTGTCCTTGACTGGCATTTTTCTTTTTTTGAATTCCTGGTTGCCTTTCTCTTTAGTTTTATCATGTTGTGATTCTGTGTCACTTTTGTGAAAGTAGAACTGTCCCTCGTGACCTAAATTGTTACATAAAACATAAATTGCCTAAAAAACATAAAGCTGTAGTGGTTTTAGCCTAGGTTTTAAATGTAGTATTTTAATTAATTTATTTATTTTGATACTATAGTGTTCTAAGGACGGGAGCATCTGGCTGGATGGACTTTAGCATCAAGAAGAGTCCTCTTTCTGTTCAGAAAGTTGTAAAGTGCGTCAAGATGAAGCAGGCTCCTGAACTCCTTGGGAGCACAAATGGGAAGCCTCAGAACTGTGAAGTGAATCGTGAATGTTCTGTGTTCCTCAGCAAAGCCCAGCTCTCGGGCACCTTGCAGGAGGGGGTCATGCAGAAGTTTAATGGCCACGACGCACTTCCATTTATCCCAGCCGAGCAGTTGAAAGATCTGACTTCTCGTGTTTTTAATGGAGAGCCTGGTGCTCATGATGCCAGATTGCGCTTCGAGTCCCAGGAAATGAAAGGACTTGGGACGCCACCTAACACTACTCCTATTAAAAATGGCTCTCCAGAAATTAAGCTGAAAATCACCAAAACATACATGAACGGGAAACCTCTCTTTGAATCTTCCATTTGTGGTGACAGTGCAGCTGATGTGTCCCAGTCGGAAGAAAATGGACAAAAACAAGAAAACAAGGCAAGAAGAAGCAGAAAGAGAAGCATCAAGTATGACTCTTTCCTGGAGCAGGGCCTTGTGGAAGCAGCTCTTGTGTCCAAGATCTCGAGTCCCACAGACAGAAAGGTATGTACAAAGGTTCTGCTGGGGTTGGGTGGAAGTATGAGCACCATGGGAGTGTGTCTCCATGTGGGGTGGTGGGTGGGAGGTAGCCGGTGCCATGTAGGCAGTGGGGCTGGGCCCTTTGCTGGAAGCAGGGAGTCTGTTCCTTTCTCGCCTAGGCAGGCAGCAGCTGACACTGCCTGAACCTTGGCTATGGGTCAGGCACTGTGCACCAGGACACCCCAGCGTGGCTGCTTGCTGAGCCAGCTGTGAGCCCTGGGGACATTAACTAAGTGCTCAAGATCGAAATGGCTGAAAAGAGACACAACCAGTTTCTGAACCCAGATCTGGCCAGTTTTAGAGCCCTTGACCTTCAGGATGTAGTATTTCCATGCATCTTATCTCCACAGACATTTTCAGCTTGGTTATGGTCAATGGAGGCCACTGAGATCACGCAGGTCCTTAAACCTATGCCATGGAATTGGTGGGAAGAGAAGTACTCTTGTCATTCTTACCACGTGGTTCACTGTCTGACCCTTGCTTGTCTTCTCAACCAGGTGTCCAGCACGTGCTTTCACTTCTTGAGGATGGGGGCTGTGTCTTATATTTTTATGTTCTTGGTTCTCATCTCAGAGCCTGGTACTTAGAACACGAGGGAACCAACACTCACTATCAAAGACTGGGGTGGAGAACTGGATCTTCAGCTAAAAGCATACTTGGTGTCTCCATTTCATTCTTTCTGGTGGTGTGTGCTGCCTGCCATGTCTTAAAATGGTACTTGGGCCCTAATGCTTAGATGAGTATAAGCTGAATTAGACTGACAAGGAACCTGGGCCTTGGCTGAAGGAAACGGGGCCCAGCAGTCCCACCCGTGTTCACGGCCTGCACATAGAGGTTCATTCAGGCGTGAATGGTCCAGAAGGTGTCTTGGTGCCCTTTCCACATCTGTTGCTGGTGGCGCTTAGTGGCAGCTCCATGCTCACCTGCACTTAGGGCTGCTGAGCAGCAGCAGGAAAGGGAGCCCCAGGCTCTTTGGGGTTGGTATTATTACCACAGTCGAATATGTAATTTAAAATTATAGTTGAGACATTTCATTTAGGAATTCTCCAGATGGGCAGGGGAAAGGCTGAGATGGCCTTGAAATTGTTAAAATAGCAAAGACATTGAAGGCTTAAATTTTTTTTTTCTTTTGAGTATTTAGCCTTACTAATGTAATTACTCTGGTAGTGTGGTGTGTAAGGCACTTGACTGCTAACCAGAAGGCTGGCAGTTCAAACCCACTAGTCACTCCTCAGAAGGAAGGTTAGGCAATCTACTTCTGTAGTGATACTGCCTCGAAAACCCAAGGAGGGGTCGCTGTGAGTCGGGTGCGACTCAGTGGCCCATAACAACAACAATGTAATTACAAGGAGGCAATGGCGAGCTTTTTAAAAGACCAGGAATCTGGGCTGACAGATTTTTTTTTTTTTTTTTTTTTTTAGGATTTGGGTGAAGATTTACAGAGTAAATTCACTTTTCATACAGCAGTTCACATATACTTTGTCTTATGTCATTGACCAAAATTTACAATGCAGCAGCTCCCCTCCCACTTCCTCCCCATAGTTACCTCCTCCCAGTGGCTGACAGATTTTTCAAAGTGCATGTCATTGCATTGCACCTCCTGCTTTTACAGGGAAGGAGCTCTGTGCAAGATGCCAGAGATCTGGTTTTCATTCCCATCTTGGCCACTTGGTTTGGTTCAAACTCAGGGTTAAGGGGACGATAATCCTCATCCTCACAAGGCTGTCCTGTGGCTTCACTGACATGATAAACGTGCACACGGGCTGCTGTGGAAGTCTGAGGGCCACTGGTTTCTGGAAGCGTGGCCTGGGCCAGCTCTTAGCAGCACCACGAGCCTTGATCTTTGTGGTAACCCAGTGAAATTCTGGGACTGGTGGCCTGACTTAACAGATGAGGAAACTGAGGCCTGGAGATACTGAGTGATTTGCCAAGTATGGACTCAGAACTCACCCTCGCTTCTTCAGTTGCTGCCTCGGGCCACATGGTTCTACGTTATCCGACTAGCTTAAAGAGTGGGAATGGCCTTTCTGTTGGAACCCTGCAAGTGAAGAGGGTCACTCAGTTCACTCAGTAGGGAAAGAGAGAGAGGCATCTGTAGTCCGCCTCCTCTGCCTTTTCAGTTTTGGCCAGTAGGAGCTACGGAGGAGGAGGCACTTAAAGGGCCCTGTTGGCTGTGAGAGCAGACCGAGACCTGTGAAGGAAAGTTTGCGCTCCTAATTAACCCACGTTCTATAGATGAAGAAACGAAGGCCCAGAGAGCTGAGATTACTCAGCTAAGGACAGGTGGAGCTGGGATTCCCTCGACCTTCTGACACCCTCGCCACCTTGAGTCTTTTCCTGTGGAGAATACCCATGTTCTGGAGAGCTGACCCCCAGACGTGTGCTGTGCTGGGGCTCCAAGTGTGGATTCAGGATGCCTGAGAATTCCTCTTGACCGTCTCTGTGAAGCTCTATTAGGACAACCCTCAGCCATAGAAGTAGGTTGAGGTAGAGAGTGCCGTGGTGTTGAGCGTCTGTTACATGCCAGCACTGTGCTGGTCTTTGGATGAGGGCAGCCAGAGAGACAGAGACAATTCTGATGAAGTGATATTAGCTTATGGTTCAGAAAACAGCAAATGACAGTGTGCCCCTTAGGGGTGTGTATATGCATGTGTGCACACATGCCACTGCTGTCTGTTAAACCTCATCTGGTTTTCTGGGTATTAGAAGGCCGACGTGGTGATACTCATTTGATCTGATGTTGGTATTTGCCTTTTCTTCATTTTCAGGTTCCAACCAAGAAAGAGTCCTGTCCAAATATCAGCAGAGACAAAGACCATCTGCTGAAATACAATATTGGAGATTTGGTGTGGTCCAAAGTGTCAGGTTACCCCTGGTGGCCATGCATGGTGTCTGCCGACCCGCTTCTTCACACCTGTACCAAACTGAAAGGTACTGTGGTTTTGGCTATTTTTCCACCTTCTCGTCCACACTTCATCGTTCTTATCCCTGGCTGCTTTTGTACTTTTCCTTAAATGGCCCCAGTGTGGTTCATTTTTGCAGTTTTACCTCAGTTAGTGATTGACTTGGAGGGGATATGGGTGTTTTTCTTTCTGTATCCAGCTCAGATGTCCGGAGTTGAGTTAGAGACAGTACCTGAGACGTGCTCTTTGCCCAGCACTTTCCAGAGTTTATTATAAATATTCTATTATGTAGATATGTAGTGATTGTTTATTTCAGCACAGTTTGTAGAAACGGTGTTACATACTAAGTTTGAGGTAGGCAGATATCCAGGTTTTTTCCTTAGGCCCGTGCAATGAGGTAACTAACTAGAAATTACCATCTTTGGTCTCATGGAACTTGGGAAGTTAAGTGTCGGTGTGAACAGGTGAAGAATGTTTGAAGAATGTCATACGCCATTGGTGCAGGGTAGAGCAAAGAATAACTGGGCGATGTGTGCATGTGTTTCTGGAGGAAAAGTAAACAAAGGGTCAGGTGGTTTGAGATTTCTTCTGGAGAGTTCTAGAATAAAGTTTGAATTTGAGTCAAGTTTCCGGAAGGTGAGGTGTTTCAAGTAAAGAGCTGGAGCTGAGTGCGTTACGTGCCTGTGTGCCCTGCCAAGCCTGCAGGAGCGTGAGGATGAGAGCACGGCTGGTCTGGACCTAGCGGTTGGCCCAGGACTGCCAGCCAGTCTATCGGGTGGCCCCTCCGTGGGGCCCACGGCTGCATATTTTCTCCTGGTCCCAGCGGCTGGCGAACTGCACTCACAAAGGTGGTGCCGCTGCTGCTGCTACAGGCTTGGGTCCTGTTCAGCTGCGGGCACAGCCACCCAGGCTTGTTGGCTGGCTGCGGGACGGGTAGCTGCTGGGTAGTGGCGTGCGGTGTGCTCCTCTGGCTAACAGACTCCGTAAGGGGCTAGAGTTCAAGACTCAGAGCACTCGCTTGGGTCATCATTGGACGGCATGGCCCTGCCTGGGCCTCCTTGCCCTTCAGGGTGCTTGGATCTCTGCCACGAGGCTCCGAAACTTACAGGTACTTCATAAGACTTGTCCTAGGAGAAGCTCTGGGAGCCTAGCTTCAGCTCTGTGGCATCCTCAACTGGTAAGAATTGGATGGGTCCTCTCCAGGGGCCTTCAGGGACCCAAGATGTCTCCAGAGGCATCTAGGCTGGGTCAGAGTATGAAAGAAAAATAACTCTGTGGACAGAACCTAGGCTTTCCTGACTTTGATTGGTGATGGGCCCTCATGCCTCCATAGCCAGGTGCAGGGAGAGGGTGGTATCTGACAGTGGTCTGAGGGTCTGCTGATTTCTTCTCAATGTCTTTAAAGCCAGCCTTGTGCCCCACACAGAAATCCTAGTGGAAGTCGACTTGGACCTCATTACTTCTATGCCATTCATCTACAGAGCGAGCATGATTAAGCTTGATTGGTTTCTTTTTCAGTGTCTGGGGACTTTTACTTTGTTTATATGCCTGCCATCTTAAGCTCCTAGACCTGTGTGACTGAGCGGTCTTTAGACTGTCTCCTTGTTCCAGCGCTCAGGGTTAATTGCCTCAACTTGAATGTCACTATATTTTCCCTGCCCTAGAAGTAAGTCCCTCCCGAGAGGGACCGGGTCTCCGGGAGCAAGGTAAGCACGGGCGGGCTGGTGCTTACTCACTGATCTGCACTGAACACTTTCCCTTGTTACCCTCC